ATCAAAAAGTCGACTGCAATAAAATAGGATTAGTACATAATATAAACACTTGGGTCATAAAATCTAAATTGCTATGGACATCCAAACTGCTGAACTGCAAAGAACAATCACTTAGCTTGTGCCGCATATGGAGCATTAGATATATTCAAGAGCAACATGCCAAATTAATTGAAAAAGAAGATGTTAGACCAATGTATGCTTCCAGTCATAACTTACGTCGCCGAAATACTTTCCTTAACCCGGTCTATAGTAACCAAACTCAGAGTAGCCTAAAGACGAATGAAATGCTCGCTACCTGGACTAACTTTTAGATACAGAGTTATAAACGAAGAAATAAAAAGGAGGATAGGCGTAACAGATGATAGAGCGCATAGTATGGCTGAAGTGGAACTGGTCTGGCCATGTAGCCAGATTGAATGGGGTCGGTTGGTCGGTTGGTCGGGTGGTTGAAAGGGCGGTCGAACCAAAAAATTACAGTGTGGAGACCATGAGCTGATAGAAGAAGCATAGGTAGCCCACCTACACGATAGACAGACGACGTCAAAAGAATCGCTGTAAATTGGCTGCGGAAAGCTCAAGACCGACAGAACTGAAAGAAATTATAGAAAGCCTATATTTTACTTTAGACGCAGAAAGCTGGATGATTAAATTGTATAAAATATCAGAATTTGATGTCAATCTATCGTACAGAAATACCTTTCAAGACCTTTATCTATAGATCGAAGCCAAGTAGGTATAAAGGACTAAGAATTCATTTACCACCAATTGACCAAAACATAATTATTTGCAGTAACATCAATTATTATATTTAATAAAGTTTTAAAAACGATTTTCAGATTCGAAGTCGAAAAATGTGAAATCATAAAAAATTTTTGCTGTGGAGTCTTTCGTCTCAGTGTTACTCACTCAATAGCTACAAACTGGATGAGTATGTATTCTTAAAAAACAGAAATATAAATAAAATTCAAAATTTTATAAACAAAAAACAAGTTTCAAAAAAATTCAATATTCTTTTAATCTGATGTTTTTATTGTTGAGAAAAACTGTAAAATGTAGCAGAGAGCATAATATTTGAGTGCATGTAACTCTGTACTTGCGCCATTGAGTCTTATTTCTTTCAGGAAATAGATTGTTGTACATACTAACACTAATAATTTTAGATATTAGTTTGGGGTATACTGACACCTCTTCTTTGCTTTCTTAACTACTAGGTAAGTTTGCTTATTATTTTTATTTTTGTTCAAAAAAATCAAGATAGTTTTGTATATATGTGTGAAAATAACGTAAGTTGAAACTAATCAATAATTGTAAAAAGTTTTTATATTAATGTCCATAAAGAATCCCTACATAAAAAACGAACGGACGAACATACGGTCGTTGAAGCTTGTCCATTATACATTACTACACTATCTTTACGCCTCGAAGTCATTGTTATTATTGGTTTCTTAATATTTATCATGACATCTTCTTCATGTGCCTTGTCCGTTCCGAACGTTGGCAATCAACATGGTTATTCTGACTTTGTTTACGGCAGATCTGAATAGTTCAGCAGATGACAATCCGAATCATTGCCGCAAGTTTTGGATCCACGAGTGTCTTCTCCTCCCTGGACCCCTTCTGCTGTCTATTTTTCCTTGAACGATCGGCTGTAGTACTCTATATTTATTATGTCTTATAACGTGACCCAAGTATTCCAACTTTCTTTTCTTTATACTTATTCCTACCTCTCTCTCTTTACCTATCCGGCGTAGTACCTCTTCGTTGGTCACGTGCTCAGTCCAGGATATACGTAATATACGTCGGTAAGCCCACATTTCGAAGGCCTCTATTTTTTTGATCAATGTTGTGGTCATTGTCCACGCCTCCATTCCATATAACAAAACCGGGAATACATAACCTTTCAGAAGTCGAATTTTGAGAGGTAGGGTGAGGCTTTTAGAGGTAAAAATTTGCTTCATGCTAGTGAACGATGCTCTTGCCCTTTCTACTCTTATACGTATTTCCTTCACTTGATCCCAATTTGAGTTAACTGTTGTTCCCAAGTAGATGTACGAATCCACGTGTTCAATTCTTTCATTGTCTAATATCAGTTGCTGTGCTGGTTGTTGGGTTTTGCTTACTAACATCCATTTGGTTTTTGTGATATTTAGTCTATGTCCGTATTGTGCACTTGTTTTTTGTATCTTACTCATTAGGCAACTCAGTTCCTCCATGCTACTTGCTAGAATCACAGTGTCATCAGCATACCTTATGTTATTAATAATTTCTCCATTTATCTTTATGCCTTCTGTGCTTTCCTCCAGCGCTGTCTTAAATACTTCTTCTAAGTATATATTAAAGAGAATTGGAGACAAGATACAGCCCTGTCGTACCCCTTTCTTGATCTCGATTTTATTGATCAATGTAGATCCTACTTTCACTTTAGCTGTTTGACCCCAATAGAGACTCGCTATGGTTCGAATTTCTCTGTAGTCGACTCCGATCTTATGGAGACCTTCAATTATCTTTTCGTGCTTTACGTTATCGAATGCTTTTGCGTAGTCTGTAAAGCATATGTACACGTCTTTGTTCATATCTCTGCAGCGCTGGATGAGTACCTGTAGACTAAAAAGTGCTTCTCTTGTCCCAAGTGAATTCCGAAACCCAAATTGCGAATCTGCAATGTTATCCTCGCATTTTTTGCTTATTCTGTTGTAAATAACCTTGGTGTATATTTTCGAAATGTGGTTAATTAGACTTATCATCCAATGTTTATTACAAGACTTTGCTTTTGGTTTTTTCGGTATGGCAACAAAAGTTGACTCTAGCCAGTCTTCAGGAAACTCCCCGCTGTTATAAATATTGTTAAAGAGTCTGACGAGTGAGTCTAGAAATTGACTATTTGTTTCGCACAGCATTTTCAATACTTCCCCGTATACGTTATCATTGCCTGGTCTTTTGTTATTTTTAAGACCCTTTATAGCATTCTCCACTTCTGATTTTAGAATAGAAGGGCCAGTATCATCATTACTCAGTGTACACCCACTAGGACGGTCATCATTAAACAGTTGTTCCACATAAGTTTCCCAGATTCTAACTATTTTGTCGGGGTCTAGTTGTAGATTTCCATATCATCGCACAGCCCTTTCGATAAAATATTGTAGCTTTTCTTTGTTGTGAGTTCCTTTATCTTTTTATGCATATTGTGATAGTCGTATACCTTGTCGCACTGTTCGATTTCTTCGCATCTCTCCGAGAACCATTTCTCTTTAGTTTTTCTTATCTCAGCTCTTATTCGTCTATGGGTTTCACGGTTTACATTTGGCTTTTTTACCTTTACTTCAAACTTACATACCACCGGATTGTGGTCTGATGCTACGTCCGCACCCGGGTAAATTTTTAGGGCTTTGATGGAGTTTCTAAACCTGATTGGTGCAGCGATATAATCTATTTGATTTCTGATTATTTTACCAGGTGAGTCTGCCAGTGATTTCCAGGCATAGAGTCTACGGTGCGGGAGCTGAAAGAGAGTGTTACTTAAAGAGAGTGTACTAGGTTGTGTTCTTGGCAAAATTAAACTAGACGATCTCCTCTTTCGTTTCTTTCACCAAGTCCGAAATTTCCCACTACCTTTCCTGTTTTGCCTCGTCCTACTTTCGCGTTGAAATCTCCCATTATAAGTGTTGTCATGACGTACATCTGGAAAATACATTCCAACCAGATTATTAAGAGATTAGACTGATGAGGGATAAGGCACTAGATCGATGATAAGGGATTACATTTTTTAAGAGAACATACAATTTCCCAGCTTGAAAAAGGAAACCTTATGACCTAAGAGGTAACAACCTCCAGTTGGTAGATTAGATCGTTTATTTTCTGCAGGACGGTGTACGGGCCTTCCCAGTTCCGTTGAAGTTTCGGACAAAGTACTTTCTTACATGTGGGATTATATAACCATATTTGGTCACCTATTTCGCAAGTTGTACCAGTAGCATGCATGTTGAGCCTGGTTTTTATTTTTACTTTTAAGCTTCAAACTTTTACGAGCAAATTCGTAGACTTTTTTCAATTTTTCTTTCAAAATTTATTTCTCTTTCGGTGATTATCATTGATGGAGAAAAGCCGGTTGATTTATGTTCGGAACTTCTATAGGTTAACAAGATTAAAGGAGTTAAAGTATCCCAATCTATTTGATTACCAGCGACAGCTCTAAAGGAACTCAATGTCTTGATACAACGTTTGTTATGAATGCTTCTGCTACTGTAGTTTCTTTTTGATTACGTAGATGTGCAATTTCAGGCTATTTTAAAAAATAATCCATTGCCACTATTAAGTACTTGTTTCCTCTCTGTCATCGGAAGTCGGCCGAGAACTGCCACTGCAAGTTGTTTAACAGGTTCTCCGGAAAGATATTATGCCATTTTACCACGACTTCTTATTCTAGGGCCTTTTCTAACATTACATAAATCGCATTTCTTACACCAATCTTCTACATATCGGCAGAAATTGATCCAGTAAAATATGTCTCAAACTCTGGCAATTGTTTTTTCAACTCCGAAATGTCCTCCCGGAAGGCTGGTGTAAAGTTCTTGGAACACAGTTTTAATGTGTTATTTTGGCAGTACCACTTGTTGTACGCTCTTCCGGTAGGGATCTATGCCGTTATCTCTTGCCGTATTGCTCCATCATAGGCCGATCAGACACCAGCATATTCTAGTAATTTTAAGCTGCTGCGTTAGCCTTTTTGTTTTCTGTACACCGAGCTAGGGATCGAACTCACATCACTTGTAGTGAAGCGAACGTGAAGCCGGCCGCCCAGCCCGCTTGGCTATCTGACCGACTTTTTATACTTTTAATAAATATCTTCTTTAATAACTTTTTTTTAAATAACCACATTTTGACAAAATAATCTTGATTTTTACCATAAAATTGAGTATGTTTTGTTATTAATTGTTTTAATACTATTTAATGATTTTTCTGTGTATTGGATTTCTCTTATTAAACAAACCTGTTGTTTACAGATTGCCACACACTTCAAAAACAATTTTACTCAAAGAACACGGCATGATCCTCGCATATCTGGGTGCTTCTACACGGGACAAATTAGGGGAGACAAAAGTTCCTACGTAGCTGTATCGCTTTGTAGTGGAATGGTAAGTGTTACTAAATATAATAGACTTATTTTTGAAGATCTACATAGTTTTATTCATAAGGGCAGTCGTGATCTTGAAATTATTAGAATATACACAAACAGTTAAACCTACAAAAATTGTATCCCTCTAAAATCAAACTTATAAAAGAATTGAATGATAACGATCCAGATAGACAAATAGAATTTTATGAAACCATGATGAATAACTGCCACCGAGACTAGTTGTTGGTACAAAATATTATTTTTTCCGATGGAGCCAGATTTACTTTAAATGTCGAAGTCAACCGTCAGAATTTTAGGTACTGTGCACAAGAAAATTTCCAATTGACGCATAAGCATCACATATAAAACCCACAAAAAGTCATCATATAAGATGGAACTATGAGAAAAAACATTATTTGATCCTATTTTTTCGAAGGCAATGATCGAAGGCAAGTCACCAGATCTAATTCCTATGCATTATTTTATGTGAGGGCATTTAAAGAATGTTTAACCTACCTATACCCCTACGTAACTACCTAGATCCTATATAATAATTTTTATTTTTAATTTTTGTTTGAGAATGATTTGCGGATGGGCAATCGAAGCATCAAAACAAATGTAAAATTTAATTCGCATTACATTTAGTTGTGGTTCTATCATACAAAAAAAAAACATTAAAATATGTACCTGTTTTTTTTTATTCATAACAGAATTTGGATGGCGTTATTGAAGCAGAATTTACACGAAATTATAGAGATTTTAATACAATTGAAATTAAAGTGATATATAAGGTTGAATGCTCGAATAAATAAAATTAAATCAAATCAAAGGCAGATATCGAGTACAGTTTATTTATTAAATCTTGCCCAAGTACTTTCAGTCCTAGAGCATCTTCAGGAGCATTTTGACGAAGCTATGCTAATTTTGACGAAATGCCCCTGAAGATTCTCTAGGAGCGAAGGTACTTGGGCAAGATTAATAAATAAACTGTGGTCGATATCTGCCTTTCATTTGATTAAAGTTTATAATTGAAACTAATTAACGAGGTTAATAAAAAAGCTGTCAACATACTTTTTGCATTCGGTTTAAACCCAGATAAAATCTGTGCAATATGTATATGCCTCATAAAACAGCTCAATTGCTTGGAGACAGTATCGTATCATTTGTGAAGGGGAAGTATAGCAGGTATTCATTCATTTTAGTTTCTTGATGTTTTTTTTTTCTATAATTTTTGTTTTTTGTCGTAAATAATCTGATCTTTGGCAACACGGTTACACAAAACACGATACTAAGGTCCAAAATTTATTCTGGTAGAGGTGTCTTGGTCAAGAATTGATAGAGATAGACATAGAAAGAATTAATGTACAGCAACAAAAATAATTAGACGTAAGTATTAAATAAAATTTTATGAATTTTAGGTAAAACGTAATTGTGACTGTATGAAAATGAGTACATGAATGTCCTCTTAATGCTCTTTAATGAAATTTATAAGTCGGGTGATATACCCAATGAATAGTTGACGTTAACATTTATTTCTCTTTCAAAAAAGAAAAATGGTATAGAATGCACCGACCACAGCACCATAAGACTGTTGTCTCGCACACTTAAAAGGTTTTTAAAGATCATCCATAAACGCATTTATCAAATACATACTTGATATGGATATTCAAGAAACCCTCTTTGCATTCAACGTACTAATCCAGAGATACTTGGATGTTAACCAAGATATGTACGTCTGTTTCATAGATTCCGACAAGGCATTCGATAAAGTCTGCCACAAAGAGCTAATTGACGTCCTAAAAGCAAAACAATTACAATACAATGAGCTTCGAAATATAAGGGAAACAGCAAGAAATACATACGCATTAATACACACACATCAGAAGAAATCGAAATTAAAAGAGGAGTGCGACAGGAATATATATTGTCACCACTACGGTTTAAGGCATACTCTGAAGAAATTATGAAAAGAGCTCTTGAGGGAGAAACAGCAGGAATAAAGGTCAATGGAACACGAATTAACAACATTAGAAGTGGTCTAACGAGGTTGTGTTGGAATTTTTATCCTTGTATAAATTACCCAACTTGGTAGAATTTTTACTGGCAACATTGGTAGACAAAACTAGGCTAAACCTGATTTCGACAAGACACTTTTCATTGCGGTAGATATCAAAAAGTAAATATTTATCAATTTCACACTAATATGGGGTGGGATTCGTGGTCTCTCTCTGTTTCACTGAATATATTTTTAGTTCCTCTTTGCTGACGTGAACTAGCAAAGAGCGTCACTCCACTAGCTGTCTGATTCAGGCTTAAGACGTAGGTAAGACGGCGGTAAGACGACAGTGAGAAAGCAACTAGTTTATCGGCAAGACAGCGCGCGTGGCAAACAGAATTAACATTAAAGTCGACCAGATATAACTGATTCATTTGGGAACTGGTACACAAGTGAATTAATATTTGAGGTATTATATTAGGGCTTAAATTTTCACCTGAGATGAGGGAATTTCGATGATCAAGCCAAATTAGCCCTAATTATGTGTTAGGGCAGACAACTGTTTCAAGTCAAAGATACTTTCCCTTCTTAAAACAATATACTGTTAGAGAAAACACAGCGGTGCCCTTATTAATAGCTTTAGAAAACGGGCTGTTGGCGTTGTATCGGTTCTTTGGTAGTTAAGGGTTAGCAAGTAGATACGCAAAGAAGGGATTAAGTCGTTTCTACGAAAGCAAGAATTAGAAAGAAGAAATTGGGAGGAAATAAATGGCAGAAATTTATTTGCACATGCTTCAACTAAAGAACTATATAAATAATAGTCTGTAAAAATAATAATAAATTATATAGTCTGATTTTGAACTTACTCATTTTTGCTACATGCTTGTTTTATATGATTTTTTAGTTTTCTTTTGTTTGTAGATATACGTAAATCAGACAAGAAAAGAATAGCACGAATGTATAATAATACCCAAACCCCAAACCTGACAATTCTCTAAAGAAAAAGTAATAAGGAAGTACACAAACCGAATATATTAAACATTGTAAATTTCTTAATAAATTACTTCCATAAAAAACGTATTCTGCAATAATTTTTGTGTGGGTTTAACATCTCCATAAGAAAGGCTGCGTGCTTGGGATCCATAAATTCGCGACAAATTGAAATAATCATTTTTTAGAACCGTTAAGCAGTCTATAAAACATGCGTTTCAGGTTCTCTTACACTGTACTAAATGTCGGCTTTAAGCGATAGTAGGTACGTTACTATGTTTCTTTTTTTAAGACAGATACAACTACACTGGAAAACGTTCAGAGTTGATGAAATCATTTTTTGTAACAAAGTTAATAAAAAAAACATCAAATTTTACTTTAATACAACTTTTTATTGACAAAACATTTTCTTCTTTACTAAATTATTGCAGAACAGATATTTTCTGTTTATAGTTTCGTTTTTGTGTGCGATACATTATAATTTGTTTATTTATAACGATGTTTTTGTACATTTATGGATGTTCATCCGGTTAGAAGTGGATTTTCTTTGGCAGAAAAGGTTCCTAGAAGTTTCAACGAAATGCCATTCTCTTGTGTTGTATTTGAGGTTTGAAATCAATTAAGCAGTTTTATGTCATAGCTCAATTAGAACTGTAAAATTACAGACCGTCTGGTATACTAAAGTGATGATTGTTAAATTTGAAGGTAAGGTGGTGTCACACTATTACATTACATTTAGGATCAAAACTTCATGAAATTAGTGTTTGGGACATTAGGTGGTATTTATTTTCATATTTTACATTTTTTTACTTTCTTTTACTGTACTATAATATGATCTAATTTAATGGTATATTCAACTTCTTTGCTTTAAAATATATTGTTTCCTGTTATTCAGTAAAATATTATTGTTAAACTGGCTTAAACACATTTAGTTTGTTCAAAGAATTTGTCTTCTTTTGCTGTTTTGGAGATAATTGTGTCGCCATTACACACAAAACGTGTAAAGTATCATATTATTGTGACAATGTAGTTAGAATTATCGCCATTCAAAGCGCTGATTTATGGGGGTACACTTGTTCTATAAATCACCTAACGGTCAGAGGGTTCTTTCTGACCATCTCAAGAAACATTTCATCACGAGACAGCGTACTTAAAACATCGAGTGTATCGGTCCTCTTTTGAGCCTCGGCGCCGGGCGTCCCTTAACGTCGTGACGCGCAGCACACCAGTATTTCAAGGGGTAAGTCTATGTTCTTTGTACAGATAACGGTAATGAGTTAATGCTAGTTAATTCTCGTAATTTATTCACAACAATATTTGCTACTTTTCGCTACTTTTATTTGCAGCCAAAATGTTGCATTTTTTTTAATATTACTCTAATATCATTTAACCAGCGACCTCTTAAGTTTTACACAAAACAATTAGAGATATATGAGGATCTGGAGATCACTTAAGACAAACAAAACAGTCCTGACTGTGTCGATCTAATCACTTCCTTTTAATGTAAGCAAGCAATTTAATTGAACCCAGCCTATGAGAAATGTTCACCCAGGTAGTACTATCGGGTGTAACAATTCATTGGAGCAAGGTGTGTTAACTCGAGTAAAAACAGGAGTCATCCCACCGTGCTCCAATGCTCTAGACCATCCCTTTCCCTCCTATAGCAATCTGATGCGCTATAGAGGCACAACAATCAGCCAAATGCTCTTCATGTGGAGGTCCTGGGTAATAGAACCCCAACGTGGTTTCCTAACCGAACGCAAAAACTCAGCGCATCTCCGCTATATTCCTGTTTTAATGTAATTTTAATTTAATTTTTATTTTAATTTAATGTAATTTTTTAAAGAAAAGCTTTTATACTTGTGGATTATTTCTATGTTGTTAAATGCAGATCGTCACTATACGGTAGAGCACATCGTCACGACATGGCAGAGCAGATCCTCAAGAGAGAAACAGTTGAAAGAGTACATTTTAATTTTTTATTTATAACGAAATATAACGAAATAGTGGTTGATATTCAGAAGCAAAATCAA